AATAATATAAACATTTTGATTAGGAGATTTAGAATAATAATTGGGATTTTGAGATTTTAACTAATATTGTTTGTACCATTAATTTTGAAGGTTCACGTACGTAGAACAAAATTTTAAGAATCATTATATGAGATATTGTTTATTGAAAACATTTGAGTGTGAATTTTATTTCATTATTTTTATTTCAATATATAATGTTATATCATATGTGTTTTTTATAATTCCGGTATTCTTTGGAACTTACCTTTCACATGTGAAGCATAGATATTGAAGCACGAATATAACCCTGAGATAAGAGAATTAAAAAGTGTGATAGAATTCTAATCATATCATTTAAATAATTTTAACTAATCTATTAATTAATTAGCTAATTAATTGCTTGGCGCACTAAGACTTTGAATATCACAATTATTAGTTTAGTTGTTTAGTTTTAGTTTTCACGATTACATCGTGTTCTAAATAAATAGTTTATATAAATTAGAACCGATCGTTTTATTGAAAATCATTATATCGGATATATATATATATATATATATATATATATATATATATATATATATATAGAGATTAAAGAATCTAGAATCCCTAAAGAATGCAAAACAAGAGACAGAGATTAAAGATATCCAAAATACGATGAAGGAAATCAAGATTGTCCAGAAAAAGGAATTAGAACAGTTAGAAGAAAAATTTGAAATGGCGCTACAAGAAGACAGGAAGGAAGTAGAAAGGAGATTAAAGCAAAATGAAAAACAAATGGCAGAAATTGAACTAAGAGGGATAGAGAGAAAAGAAGTTATCATCCACGGAACAAGCGAGGCGAAAATAAAATTTGGCGGGGATATTCGGAAAACACACCCAGTACCGTTTGTTAAAAATTTGAAAACCAAATTGCAACATGTTAGATATTTTGACGATTGCAAAGAAACTATTAGAAACCATCTGAAAGAAGGAGCAGCGTTATGGTATGAAAGCAAAGAAGATGAGTTTGAAAATTGGACAGATTTCGAAAATAAATTTCTCAACTATTTCTGGGGGAAAAATAAACAGAGGGAAATCAACCAAGAGCTACAGAATGGAAAATATCACGAAAAAATGGGAATATCTGAAGAAAGATATGCTTTGCAGATATATAACAATTCAAAATATCTAGAATACAAATATTCTACCGAACAGCTGGTAGAAATGATCAGCAGACATTTTGAGGAAACGTTGGAAGATCACGTGATTTTGAGAAACTATCAAGATATTGATAGTTTGTGCCAATGAGAAATAGAAGAAAACATGACCAATATAATGGACCTGAAAGAAGGTATCCATCAAATTATGACCAAAGACACCGACATCCCAGATCAACAAACGAATATAGGCCGAGAAATTAAAATAATTACAATAGACAACAAAATTACGATAACAGGAATGACACACAAAATAGAACATACGAAAATCACAACAGGAATAGAGCTGCACAAAATCCTCCGAATAGGAATACGAACGAACAAAGGGACGATAGAAATAACCAGAGCTTCCAACAACAAAATAGAAGGGAGATGAATCATGTAGCAATAGGAAACGAAAGACAAATTTCTAAGTCTAATCTAATATTTTAGATGCATTTATAAAACATAAAGCGATTAAAATTGTGATTGATTCTGGATCAGAGATATCGCTAATCAATAAAAAACTAGTAAAAGAATTAAATTTGGACAGATTTGTGTATAAGATTCCTAGGGTTGATTTAGTGGGTGCAAATAATAAACAATTGACGACAGTAAACGTAGGTTTGGGAGTACGGATGAGAGTGGAAGACAAATTCCATATTGTGAAATGTGTGGTGATTGAAGATTTAAATCATGATATGATAGCGGGAATTGATGAATTGAGGGAAAAACATATCACCATACATTTTTCGGAAAATAAACTGGAAATCAGAGCAGAACCAGACAACACAGAAGAAGAAAAGGAAAGAGATAGGAAAACAAATTCTGAAAGGATCAATGCACAGGAAAAACGTAAAGAAATCAATATGACTGCAGAGGATAAACCGAAAGTACAAGAAAAAAATCAAACAGAAGAGAAAAGGAGAAGGAAGAAAAAGAAGAAGAGTTCGAAAAGAAAGCAGGAAAACAAGATGGACACAAGAGAAAAACAGGAAATAAATGGTACAGAATTGTTGGCAACCGACGATAAAACAGAAAGGAAGCAGGAAGAAAAGGAAGTTATCATCAGAGAAATGAAAGGAATAGAAACATGGTGCTCGGAATACCAAAGGGAATTAGAGGATAGAAAGAAAACAGAAGAAAAAATGGCAATGATGGACGAGTATCCAGAATTTTGTGAAGAAATATTATGGACAGTGAACACATGTGAACAAAATGAGGATGAAAGAAAAATAAATTGTGGAGAAAACAGGGGAAAGAAAATAGAGAAGATTTTAGAAAAGTATGGAGATCTTATTAATGAAGAAAGCCGAGTGGCTAAAAGTTATGAACATTCTTTTAAGGTTAAATACTTGAAAAAATTTAAATCGAAAACATATCCAATCCCGTATAAAGACAGGCAATATACGGGGTATTTTAACATTCACGACATCTATCAGTATCATGAGTAGATTTTAATAACATAGTGAAATAATTTGATCCTGGAAAACTTTTGTCAATTTTAAAATTTAACAAAGAAAAATATTGGTTTGCTTAAAATATTTCAAAGTTCCAAAAAATTAAAATAATTCAGATAAGTAGGATAATAAGCAACAAACATTTCGAAGAAGGAAAGTCTTTAAATTTTTGGATTACCTGTATTGAACAAAACGTAAGATATGCATAAATTATTTTCTTTGTTAAAATATATTTGAGTGACCCGCATAAGCTTAAGTGAAATTCTAGACAATAGAAGCGGTTTTTCCAAATAAATGTTGTGCAGTAATTAGGACAATAGAATAGATTTTAGAAAGATATGTTTTTGTTAGTTTTTAAGAATTGGTAGAAAAAGATTAGTTTTTAAATAATGTTCGGAAATTTTATAACTGTAGGTAAAAATTTTGTTTGTGATCGAAATGAAGAAATGGGACAGGTATGACGCGTTTTGATTGGAGGAGATTGAAAAAGGTGGGATAGTTGGTTTGAGAATGAGACGTTAGTTAGTTTTTGAAATAAGAAAGATAGTCAGTTGGTTTCCAAGGGTGCAAGGCGAACGGCCGTTGTTCTCGGGTAGTTTCCCAGAGGTAGGAAGCAATAGCAGTGAAAGTTTGTGAGTTTTCGTGTAGTTAGTGTATCTGACAGAAGCTGATCCAGTAAAAGATTGTAAGTTATATTTTCTACTTATATTCCAAGAGTCACTGTTCAGGCCAACGAGAGATTCAGTTTATCGTAAAGAAAAGATATTCCAAGAGCCTTTTTTCACTCAGGCCAACGAGAGATTCAGTTTATAGAGAGAAGAAGAAGCTAGCATAATTTGAATGCTTCGTGCATTTGAAGGAGATCATTAAGGACGATAAACTTGCAACAATTTGTTGTAAGATTGCTGATTACCTAGGGAGCTGCTAAGAATAGATAGTATAGGCTATAAGGAACGAGGATTTGGACCACTTATCATCAGAGAGAGATCGTTTTGTTTTTTCTGCAGTTTTTTTTTCTTTTATTGATAACACAATTTTTACAATTACTTTAGAAAAGATATAAACATTTTGATTAGGAGATTTAGAATAATAATTAGGATTTTGAGATTTTAACTAATGTTGTTTGTACCATTAATTTTGAAGGTTCCCGTACGTAGAACAAAATTTTAAGAATCATTATATGAGATATGGTTTATTGAATACATTTGAGTGTGAATTTTATTTCATTATTTTTATTTCAATATATAATGTTATATCATATGTGTTTTTTATTATTCCGGTATTCTTTGGACCTTACCTTTCACATGTGAAGCATAGATATTGAAGCACGAATATAACCCTGAGATAAGAGAATTAAAAAATGTGATAGAATTCTAATCATATCATTTAAATAATTTTAACTAATCTATTAATTAATTACCTAATTAATTGCTTGGCGCACTAAGACTTTGAATATCACAATAATATATATATATATATATATATATATATATATATATATATATATATATATATATATATACATACATACATATATGTATGGGTATATATAAGCAGCGCTCTTATTAGTTTAGTTGTTTAGTTTTAGTTTTCACGATTACATCGTGTTCTAAATAAATAGTTTATATAAATTAGAACCGATCGTTTTATTGAAAATCATTATATCGGTGTCACGTATGTGGGATAATTTATTAATTTAAAATTAAATTAAACAGTGACTTTTGATTTTTGTAGTATTGGTCATTGGGAACATCCACGTAGTTCGGTAGTGATTTTTGTAAGACAAGCATTTGGAAAGTACGTAGAATTGTCAGTAACACAGTTACGTAAACAACTAGAAGAAGAAGAAGAAGAATGGGATGAAGACTGCAGCTAGTCCAAGAAGATCCTTCAAGAACGACTGAGGGATATTCTCAACAAGATTCAGTCAGCATAAAAAGCAGTTTTAATGAAAATTGAAGAAATTTATAGAAATAATGACGATATATTTGAAAACGTTTCTCAAATGATTAAATAAACTTCTAGAAGCAGCTAGACAAAACCACTAGAAATTAGAAAATGTTTCTAGAAAATTCGACGAGACCTCAAATAATTAAAGAAATAGGTAGAGAGAACAATGAGAAATTGGAAGAACATTCGATAATGGAATTCATGGTTGGTAAACTATCAAAAAGTGCAGAAATAAAATATAATTGTATAGTAATGTTTATGGAATTAAATTGTTCATTGAGAATGGCAAATAGCCGAAACATGTAAGCAATAATTAAGTGTTTTATTTATAGAAACCGACAAACCCCGGAATTAAAAATGTTTCTATTTAAAAATTCACGATCAGGAATATATATTATTTTTGTGTCTAAATAAATTTGTATCAGTGAATAGTTACCTTCGACGATAATTACAGCACTGAAGTTAAACTTAAAAAAAATTTGGTTAAGAGCCCAACCGTAATGTCTAGCAATTTTGAAGTAACCTTTTAATTTCTTTTCCTTTGGAGGAACTTGGATTTCAGATTGATCTGGCTGTTCGATAAGAGAGACTTGACTTCTGTATTTGAGAATCGCCTTTTTCGTTTCTGTATGATTACAGTCCTGAAAAAATTATATATTTAAATATTATGGCTCACAAAATATTTGTATTTTATAATTTGTCAAAATGTCGTAAGGCAGCTTTAGACCCTCGGTTTTTGTTTCAATGAGGAGTTACAATAAAGTGATTTATAAAACGGGCCAGCAAACAATTTGTGGAGAGTAAGATATGATATTGCACGAATTGTTCCACTCAGGGCCGCCGCAAGCATTGCTTGATGCCTTTGTGCAAAAAATAAGCACCCGTCAACCCAAATTAATTAAAACAAAATGTTTTTTACTATAGTTACAAAATTTTGGTACGAATAAGATATATCTTATATTGAAGGTATTTTAAATTGAAAATACAAATAGAAAGTATACACAAAAATTAATATTTATATAACGTAATATATAAAGTAAAAAATGGGAACATTTATTGGCGATTGCACATAGATTAGATTAAAAAATAATAGTAAATAAATAGCAATACCGTAATTTATAATAAATAGAAAGTATACATAAAGATCAATATTTTTATAAAGTAGGTACTTAATAAAATAACATAATAGTAAGTTTTCTTGCTTTAATACTGGCAAATATATTAATTATATCACTCATGACGATGAAATCTAATATTTTGTGCTCTATTGATATTAACGCTAAATTAGATCTGTGGAGTTATGGCAAAATTTGATAGGTCCAAATTGCTATTTGTTGGCAAATGATAAAAAAAAAACACTATTAGACAGAAATATATGGACAGCATAATATTATAAAGTTTATACTTTCAAATAAAATTTATTACATAGGCGAGGGAATATCGGAGGGGGAAAACATATCAACTTGTTCCATCTTTTTTTTTAGTTGAAAAAACAACTTGTACTATTTATATAAAATGGTTGTACTCGAATATGAGAACCAAATGGTATTAGACAAAAATATATGGACATCATTATGTAAATTTTATGCTTTTAAATACAATTTTTGCTCAGTGGTAAGAGCGCCTGCCTTTAAATCTAAAGGTCGTGAGTTCGAATCCCACCTGGGTGGAAGTTTTCGTTTATTAAAAAAAAAAAAAAAAAAAAAAAAAAAAAAAAAAAAAAAAAAAAAAAAAAAAAAAAAAAAAAAATACATGAAAATAATTTCTATCCTTGTGTGATCGGTACACACCGGAGGGACCGCAGACGTTCGGATACAATTAGCGTCTCTTAGCAAGGACAATGACGTCGACTTTGCTAAGTATCAAGACAATTACTCTACACACACAAACACACACACACTACATTAATAAACTTATCTTGATTGAGACTGGCTGAATGACAATTGTCCAAACCAAAACACACAAAAAAAATACAATTTTTTACATAGGAGGGGGAAAATTGGAGGAGGAAGAACATATCAACTTTTGTCATCTTTTTTTTTTAAATTTGGTAGGACATATCCAAATAAGGATATTGGAAACAATTACAAATTATTTGCAAACTTAAGAAAACAAATATGTATTGCATTGGTATATAGTAAGTAAATAGTATACAAGATAAAACTAATAATTAGTATCAATATTTACAAATTATTTAATATTAATATCATTAGAAGAATACCAATCCTCGATTTCGGCGGCTTGATTAGACATTCGAAGACTTTGTTAAAATTGGTGGCAATCTTCACGCATCAGCGGTAACAAACTTAACAAATCGTCTTTATTCTTATGGTTAATTGACAATGGATTGTCATAAAATGTTAGTAGATTTAAATTGTTAACACTTCCTGGCCTTTCTCTTTTACATCTTCTTAAATCCAAGGTCTTGAATTTTTCATTTTCATCTAGACTAAATTTAATTTTAAGAACTCCAAATGGTTCTTCTTATCGAATCCATCTTATTTTTAACCAATTGATTTAAATCCTTCCCTTACTTGTAACGATGTGCTGAACGTTCAACAGTTCGAACCGTGGGAGTGTCGATAATCACGCATCCAGAACCACGACGAGACGATGAGGTGGGGTCCGGAGCGGCTATTTAAAGCGAGCGACTGGCGGAATTAAATAAGTCTTGTGGCTCACGCTCTAGGCTCCCTAGTGTGTTGAATCTGCGAGCTAACCAGGACAGAGAGACTTCCGCAGTGAGGATTATACTCTGTCCTTAATCAAACAGAACCCGTGGGTATCGTGGATTGAACGTTACCGTCAACTCTGACTCAGAGTATAACGTGGATCTGCACAACCGAATATTTTGATTGCGAGAACGTTTGGGGCTTCCGCTGGACTGAGGTGGAAGCGAGTATAAGTCTGCGTGCGATCGAATTCGCGTATTTCATTTTTTGTTAGTAATAATATTTTTTTTTTGTTTACAGACGTCCGCAGGGGAATTCACTCTCGCGGAATGCAGGCGGGGATATAGAATAAATTTTATTTATTTTTACTTTTGTACATACGTTAGAATTAATAGATTTATTTTTATTTCAACCTGTGTTTTACTGAGTGTGTCGCTTCGACAGAGCTACCCGTAACAAACTGTCGCCCGAGCAAAATTGAGGAAGTGCTAAAAGAGACCGAAAATTGATAACATGCCGACAGATAAAAACACAGACTCAGTAACAAGTACGTCGTGGATAAACCGCCTTTGCAAAGAGGAATTGCAGAGTGAAGCCGAAAAATACGGCTTAGATCCCAAGGGAACCGTCGGCGAATTGAGAGTATGACTCAAAACCTATTTTAAAAATCGTGAGGAAGCGACAGGAACAATCCCAAAAGAAAAAACTTCAAAGGGAGCAGAATCCGACGCACTAACCCAGGAAATTTCGGTCATCCGAAGACAATTACAGGAATTAACAATAACGAAACAAATGCGGCAATCAGAATTCGACACACACTTCGACAAGAAACATTCGGATGCAATAAAATTCTTAAAGAGGATAGACGAATTAGGCTTGACCTACGAGATCGATACACAAGATCTACTAAAAGCATTACCAGAATTATTAGGAGACCACCATTGTTATGGTACAGAAACAATAACAAAAATTGGAAGTCATGGACAGAGTTCAGCGAAGATTTTAAAAAAGCATTCTATCCCAGAGGATATTTGCTACAACTAGAGTAGGAAATCTGAAACAGAAAACAGAGACAAAATGAACCAGTGGATAGATATATCACGGAGATTCAAACAATCAGACGAGAAGGATCTTTTTCCAAAAACCAAGAACTTGAAAGAGCTTCAAGAAACAACTACAAGTATGTGACACCAGTCACGTACTTGTAGTTTTTTTTTAATTAAAATGTCATTTAAAAACTTGGAAAATGAAAAAAAATCGGTTTGTGTTAATTCATGAACTCGAAACGGTTTGCTACCACGAACTGTTCTTAAAAATTGATATCAGTCACGAGAAATCGTTATGGGAAAATCTGTTAGTTTTTTTTTAACTTTCTATTTTAGCGTGATCGACGTCATACTCTAGATGAGTGTGACCAGGAAGTAGGAATTTTTGATCTATTACTTTAATATCCGGTAAGGTTGCTACTACTACGTAACTAATTATTACGCTCATATTAATATTGCAGTTTTGTCCGCCGCAAATGTTAGAATAGGTTACTACGTGTGATACATTAGAAGGTAGACTGCACAGTTTCTTAAATAAACAGGACGCAATATCTTCTGATCCTCTTTTGCAATACCTTCATGCCACATAAAACAATCGAATAAAAAAATTTTTATTAAAAATCCTTTATAAAAGGTATATAATTTGAAAACCCAATCGGGCTATATCAAAAAACGTTTTCGGAATCCATATTCCATCATCTGCGTCCTAAAAAGTATACAACCACTTAATTAAAAAGAAAGTGATATTTAAATTTTGACCAGGGTTAATGCAAAGTATGTTTAATACTAGGTATACATGTATGTAGCCACTAAATATGTGGGTAAAAACCCGTTAAAAATTGTTTGTTTAAATTTAGTTTACATTATGTGTTATTAATTATTATGATGTTAAAGTTACCAATATGACTCGGCGTGAAGTTGCTAGTCCTGAGACAGGTGTGTCTACGAGGACTTGATGAAAGCAACTGATTGAAATGACAATCTTGACAAGTTAGGACGGAAGTCGGAACGAAGCAGTCAGTGTAACTTTATGTGTCTACTTAAGACAGAAGCCAACGCTATTTAAAAATTGTAAAAGTTAAAATAAAATAATATAACACTATCAACCATCAATGTTGTTGTTTTAAATTAATGTGGAATGAATTGTGGTGAAACATATGTGGGAAGTTGGATTCTTGAAAATTTATTGTTATGGGTGAAATAGGAATGAATATATTTTATATTTGAAAGTGGTATTGAGTGAATAAAATTAAAACTTTTGTAATATAATGTTCACGTAATATTTAACTTATTACTTAATTATAGAAGGCCCAGTATGTCAAAAAATAACATTTGGTACCTGGAAAATGTAAAACTTTTTAAGTTACAAGTTCATGAACATAAATAACTGATTAAGTGTTAACGGAAGAAGTGAGTTAGTTCTTTTTTGTGTGTTAACAATTATATGAGATGAATAAAAGTTGATGGTTGGGATGTGGTTTTGTAATATGTTGATCATATAGTACTCAACTTATAACTTAAGACGAAAAGGCCCTATCTGTTATAAAGCAACACTAGGTACATGAGAAATATAAAAGGATAAGTTATAAGTTCATGAGTTTAATGGACTATTGGTATATATTGACAAAAACTATGAATATGAGATGGTTGTAGGAGGCTCTGTTAAATTTAAGTAAAAAGGAGAAAATTATGGTGTTGTTTTTGAAAAAATTGTGAGACGAGGAAAGACTACAGAAGGCTGAGTTCTCCAGAGATTCGAAACCAAACTCTGAGGGGGTTGTGTGGATGAGTAAAATAATAACCGAATAGTTTAGGAGGGGGATGACGAATAATCTACTCTGAATTTAGAGGTGTCGAAAACAAGCATGGAAAACATTAGGTATAGGGGTCAGACTTGAAGTTTGGGTTGAATGAAATATGAGT